AAATGGATGAAAAATCTGTCCAATTTATCATGAAATGCTTGTCAATCTTGACAAAAGAAATACAAATAAGGAAATTGTTTGCATAAAAAACTATGAACCTTTCTTATATATGTGTATATTATCTTTAGTTTTACAAATATATTCGAACTTTTAATTGAATTTAATTGGATAGAATTAAGAGTGATTATTATTGGTATATATATTTAAAAAGGTAAAGAATATCGTTATTTTATGCTGTGATCCATTTATTACATATTTATTACATATTATATACAAACGTTATCTAAAAAAAGCAATTGAAAAAAATTACTGGAATTAAATAGTCACCGCAGATCTATAGTAATAGTAGATGAGAGTAAAATTCAAATTTACATAGTAAAAAAAAAATTTTATAATTGAATGCCTTACATCTTGCTTGAGAGGAAACAAAAATGTGGGATGGCCATCCTATTTATATTTTTTTTTGAATTAATAAAATAGACTATTGTCTTGACCTGAGTGATGTCGTTGTGTGAGTAAAACACATGAAGCTCACTGTCACGTTTTCGTTTAAAGACTTGTTTATATATTAATAATTAATATAAGTATCTATATTCGTGTTACATTCCGTATATTTATTAAAAATTATTTTGATATTTCGCATTATTTATTTGGAAGGAATTAATAATCCCAAATGGGATAATTCGTCCAGACTGGGATATTAATTAATTAAACATGTATATAAGGAACAAGAATTCGCTGTACTTTAAAAGTGACTTTGTAATAAGTTAACTTAATAGTGTGTTTTCGTGTAATTGATAGTGTACCATTTTTGATTTAATAAAATCTATTTTGAATCTACTAAAATAAAAAACAAAGGATAAATTTTACTATTTATCAAAAAAAGAAATAAAGAAACTTTAAAGTATATAAACATGATTGATTTTGAGGTTGACATCAAAAAAATTTGCAACATTAAAAATCATTAATTGATGATCCGTCTATGAATCAGAGAAATGTCGATCAATTTATTATAAAAATGCGGGGGAAATTTAATATGAAATTTAGAAGAAAAAAAATTCACAAATGTCAGTAAATTTTTTACATAAAAACTTTTTATTTTTTTTTTATATTGCAAACAAATTTACACGAAATTAACTTATAATACCCTCTAATAGATCACTGCCAAAATAATCAGACATAACTGAAAACAAACAAAAATAAATACCGCACAAATTTTGAAACACTTTAGAGAATATGCTTATTTGAATTTGAATTCGACATAAATTTGAATTTTGATACGAGTTTGAGTTTTGATACAAGTTTGAGGCACTTCATTTGCCAAAATAACTCCAGATCGTAGTAAAAAAGTATCTGTTACCATTATTCAAGGAATTTCTAATTATTTTACTTTCATGTGGCCAACTGGTGATGAAGAAGGATTTATAGTGGCCTATGAAATACCCAACAAAAAAATATTCAGTCTCTGACATTAAAAAACTTTTAAAAAAAAATAACATTAATTAACCAAATGCTATAGTTACCAATCAAACAACCCATCAATCTGAATGGGAAAATGTGCATTCCTTCAGAAATCAATCCATCAATTCAGAGGTTGACTGTTACTCAAGTAAGGTCTAAGCTTCAAGAGAAAAATTTAAATCCTGTTGGAAATAAACTAGAAATAAGGAAGTGATTAAATCAATTTAGTGATCTTGATTTAGAAAATAATTCTTTGTTATTAAATGATAAGGCTTGTTGAAAATAATGAATTAGAAGCTGAAAATATTCCTTTCCTTCAACAAATTAAATCATGAATATCTCGATTTAGTCAACAGCACAAAAAACAGGCAGCTGAAAATGCATCATCTAATTAATAAAATTTTCTTTTCTTCGTTTTTCTTTTTTTTTTCTTATTTATCCCTATTTTTAAGAACAATAAATTATATGTTATTAATAAATAAATATAACCGTTACACGGAAAATGTAAAAATTTTTATATGAAAACTTCTTAAAAATCCACAGCTGCTAAAGAGTAAACTTTTTTTTTAACTTAAAGGCAAAAAAAAAACGATAATACAGTGCAGAAGCTCTATAATAGGAACAAATGTTGCCTTTTTTTAAAGGGTGTAGATCACCCAAAAAAAATTTTAAAAAAAAAGTACACCGTAATTTTGATAGCTAATGACCTTAACTTTA